CACCGCTCCCGCGCTTGGGAAGGGAAAGCAAAACCATGTCGGGAAGAAAGAGATGGCTGGGCCCCAAGACTCGGACGGCCCGGCCCAGCCGCTCACACTATGGACACGACAGCCCAAACTCCGGTCACAGCACCGGGAGAGGTTTGCACGAAGTCACCCCGTTTGGTTAGGGAAGCGTTATAAAAATAGTGTTTAAAAAGAAGCGTAGAGGAAGGAGTTTTAGAGTGATGAAGTGTTCACTACACACTGTTCTGGCAATTCTTTCCAAGCAAGTTGAAGGAAAAAAAAAAAAGTGCTATCTGTTCCTTTCTTTGGGGAAAGGGCGTTTTAGAGGAGTGCCCCAAACAGCTAAAACAAAGATTGACATTCCTTAAGGGAAAACAGCCTCTGCTTCCCCAAACACCCCTTAAGCAACTTCTGGCCTTCATTCTACTCGCTGCCAAAGTGTGAATAATTCCAGTCTAGGTCACACAAATCAGTCCTTTGAATGACCACCACCAACAACTTGATCTCTAGTACCCTCTTACCTGATTGACCAAGCCACAGAGTTTCCTGAATTCCAGGTAGAGCAGACCTGTCCCTCCCAGGGAAGGCTCATCCTACCCCACACCCAGCACAGTGTCCTGTCGACACCTCCCACATCAAAGAACTGTTCCCTCAGCCAACTCTTCTGCTGCTTCTGCAGCAGGTCAGGATTGAAAGAAAGCAGAGGTGGAAACATCTCAAGGCTGGAGTAGTTGTTACTTGGTCACACAAGAAAGGAACCACTATTTAAGTATCATCTCATCTCAACAACAACAAAAATAAATCACCAAAAGCCTTTGAGGAATGAAGCCAAGGGATTCATGAGGAGATTCAAAAGCTGGTAATAAAGACTTTTTTTTCTCCCCTCAGTTTTGCTCTTAAAGAAAGGAGAAAGTGTTGGAGTAAAGAATTAAGGTCCCCAGTCACTGAAAAGTCAACTCCTTTCAACAGCAGGACAGAAGTTCTACCACACCAGAGGGAAAAAAGGAGGAATATAAAGCAGCTTTTTATGTGGGAACCAGCCTGTCTAGGTTTAAAGATGTTCCAAGCTCCCCCCAAAGAACTCAATCAATTTAGCAGCCATAGTCTGGATAAGGCTACAAAATTTATCCTAGAGAACCTTTCCAGCAGCCAAAGCTCTCATCACATCCCTTTAAACCACTGCAGACTCCTTTCTAAGGCAGCTACTGTCACCCCCCAAGGTAAGGTGCCACAACATGAGCCCTGGGACACCAAGGAAGGGAGAAGACAGCGAGACACCTGCACCCAACAGCCACCTGCACGTCCCCTCTGCCTTCCCTGAGTGTGTGCAACGCTCCAGCCCAGCTCCTGCCCAGGCAGGTCACCCCCAGGGCACAAAGCTACTCTGAAAACGTGCAAAGTTCACCACCAAGTAATGCTTTCATCCTGATTTGCCTGCTGCTTCCTCAAGGTTACTTTAAGGAGACTTCCAGCTGTTCAGAGCAGGAACCTCCATGGATGGTCCCACTACCAGTGAGAAAATCCAGCATAAGGGAATCCCTGCACTTGCCAGGGGGACTCAAAGTGGACAGCCCAGGCCAGATATTCAGGGAGGTGAGAGCAGAGCTTGTACATGGAATGGGAGAGCTGCAGAAGCATTTAGAGCAGTTCTGAGGCAGAAGTGTTCGGAGAAGGTCCAATTCTGCCACAGAGTGTGACCCCCTCTGGTTCTACATTTGGAGAGAACCTCCCAGGTGGTTATTTGGCCACACAAGGTCTGGCCAACAGCCTCCCTAGTGCAGGTACCCCAAGAGCTGAGTCCATGGGACCACCTGGAACAGCTCAGAAAGAAGAACATCCATCCAGTGACTAGAGCAGACATTATAGAGCTGTCGTGGTCTACCTGTCCCATTTTCCTTGGAGGAAAACTGTACCCTCTAGAAAAGATTGCAGCAGAGAGGGATAGTGTTGCCACAGGTATTAATTACAGATTGCTTTAAACCTTCAGTTGCTCTTGCAACACAGCAGCAACACCTGGCTGCACCTGTGGTACTCGAGCATCTTCTGAAGAGGCAGAGATTGCCTGGGATTGCCAACAAGAACACAGGTACATGCACCAACCTGTCCTGCAGTCTCCCCACACACCTTTGTGAGATTTACAGCAGCCTGTGAAGAACTGGCCTTCAGTGAAGGGAACGACACCAGTAAGAAAAGCTGAAGGCTGCCCACATCCCTCCTGCTAGGTTGACTCTAGGCCAGCAGTAGCTTAAGTAGGTCTAACAAAGACTGACCTTTAACAAATTAATACCCATAAATACCAAAGACTGCAGTGTGAAAGAGCCACACAGAGGTGAGCCAGCACAGCACAGAAAGAAAGGGAAAAGCACGCTGGATTAGTGTTCAATAAAGAGCTTCTGCACCACCCAAGCACCTGGGTGCTGGCACTGTCTCCCTCTGAGGTTCAGGGTTTCTGCTCAGCTTGACAGTGGGGCAGGTCAGCAGTTCCCTCTGTAGTTTGTCTCAGTCCATGTTCACCTGAGCCTGCTTGACTGTATCTGAAGTACAGCAGGTTTCTCTCAGGAGGAACAAGTGTCCAACTCAGGGCTGATTCCAACAGGACCAGCACACAGCAGTGGATCAGCCCCAGCAGTCACTAATAACAGGTTCTTGTGTAGCTGCTGGATTGTGCCAGAAAAGGACTCTTATTTAGGTCAGAACTGTTACCACATCTCTTCCTGACAAGAAGTACTTTGAGACAATACCAAGGTTAGTGTGACCAGAGCTCAATGCAGGGTAGTATTATGTGAGCCACTGAGGCAGAAAACCCCAGTGCTGTGCCTGCAATGACACATTTGTCTTTCTGTCTTCATTGCACATGATCAGGTGTCTGTTTCTTGTGTTTCAGGATCCTGATTGTAGCTGGATATGCTCCAGTTCAGAGCCAGGAAAGCAGCCTGAGGCCCCCCTGCAGCATCAATCCTGCTCTAAGGCTGTGCGTAGTAAGGCTTGACTTGGAACTACACTCAGGGATTAAAACCACCAGTCTTGATTTCAGGGAGACCTCGTTGATAAGGCGGTTCTGGATTCAGGCAGTTTGAGTGCACAAAGCCACCAGCTGTCACCATGTCCTCCCATCTCACCTTCCCAAGTCCTTTTCCCAGGCAAAGGGGTCCAATCACCAGAAACTGATTCCATCTTCCTCTTCACACACCTCAGGGATGGCCAAGTGCAGACACGAGGGAGGAGAATCCAGAAGTTACTTGAATGGCAGACTGTGTGACTTCACTGGAATACATTCTGTTCACAGGAGGAAGATCCTTCTATGTTCACCCACCAAAATTCATTGGACTCAGTCTGTCCTTTCCCCATCAGAAGTTACTCCGAGTGTTACTTCCATGATACAGGAGTCCATCCCTTCAGGGATATGCAGACAGAAGATTTCTTTCTCTCCAAACTTAAAGTCATTAAAAAAAAAAATACAAAGAACTGCTTTTGGCAGCAAAGAGGCATTGAGACTTGGAAAAATCTGGAGTGCAGGACCCAAGTAGATGGGGAAGTAATCAGTCTGTGACCTAATAAATAGAGTAGAAGGAAGTCTTCAAGGTGGCCATTAGTCCAAAAAAACCTGAAGTCCTGCAGGGACCACGAAGAGCTTTAGTGCACCACACTCCATGGAGGTATCTCCTGGGATCCACTGCCACAGCTTCTCTGACACCTTTTGTTGGGCCCATGGACTATTTGGAATCCTGAAGTTCCTTTGCCTTCTTCAAAATCAGATGAA